GGGGGGGAGTCCTCAAAATTAGCAATTGCCATCTAACGTCATCAGACGTTACTGAGACTTCTGCTCGTAATAGATTTTCCATGTCAAAAAGCTACACACCACTCACAAGTCACCTGTTAGTTTGCACACCATAAGAGATTACAGAATGCCCAGTAATATAGTCACGTATGTCATAAAATCACAAAGATATTATTCCCATATTTACAGGTGCTAATGTGGACTCGCTGGCATGACGTCAGGCCACGCCTCATCACTGTCATCAAGTAGTCGAGGCCCCGCCCACATCAGGCTTGACTGGCGTGCACTGCAGCTTCCCCTCATCCTGCTCCTTTCCTTCTTCACGCCCGCAGAATCCGGTGAGTGTCCACAGAATGAGAAGGTACAGGAGCGAGCCGCGGGGGGTTTTTTTGTTATTGTTGTTGAGTTCCTATAGTTGTTTGTTTGTTTGTTTGTTTGTTTGTTTGTTTGCTCAGAGGTCAGTTTTCTTCTGTTTGTTTTTGTTTCTTTTCAATTTGTTTTACTTCCTTTCGTTTCGTTTTGTTGCCTTTATTTGTGCATTTTTGTTTTGTTCGTTCGTTTGTTTTCTTAATTTGAAGTAGTATTTTTTATATTTGTTTCTTTTGTTTTTTGTTGATTGCGCGTATAAAGTCTTGGATACAATATGATATATTGGAATGGGCATAAGCTCTTAACACAATTAATGCATAATGTGCTATATCTGTAGTCTTACTGGCTATGGAAAAGGGAATATAAGCTTTCAAAAGAAACAATAGAGAATAAACAATAATATGATAATATTAGAAAAGAACATTTTAGAGTAGCTTGCGCCTGAAGTTAAATGTGTGCTTTCAAAAGTAAGCTGTGCGAGATGTAGGTAACGGACTTGATCTGCAGCGGCGATGTGTGAATTTGGCGTCGGAAGAAACTAATAATAATTATTTTGCCTCGGTCTTCCTAGAGTTTTCCTTCTCATTCCCGAACCCAGGCGTAGACCAAAAGCTCCGCCAGCGGAAAAATTCACAATTCCATTGTGTGTAATCAGAAATATATAACTTAAATTACCCTTCCTCTTGAGGAAAGACTCATAGTTAGTATATGACAAAATAAAATAAAAAAGATTCAGACTCTAAATAAATGGTTTCAGGATTCCCCCTTTAGTTAACCATCGTTCTGAAACAGCAAACTTTACTCGCCTCCACACCACGAGAGGTTGATTAATTGTTTCAAACTTTGAGCACTCTGCTCAGTTTAGTCATAACTGGGTCAGATACTCCTCCCTTAAGCCGAAGCCCTGATTGATTAGGAGATATAGATTGCCTCGTTTCAGAACAGCCGGTCTGAGAGAGAGACATATTATTTGACGGGTTTGTCTAGTGATATTATAATCTACCTCAAATAGTATGTAATTACCTTATAAAGTTGAAAAACATAGAAAACATAGAAACATATTTACATCTGTGGATTATCTGTAAAATGTGACCTTTTGCAAAATTAGAAAGGCTAGTGATCATTAAAAAACAGTTTTCCTTTTTAAAACTCTCAAACAAACCGGAAAGGGAAATGACTTATGCGGGGAGGGGGGGGG